AAGGTAGATAGACGTAAATGTGTATTTTCTTCTTACTGCTGTTGCAACTATTTAAAATAATTTCAATGACAATTCATAGGTTCTTTAGATCCGGATAATACAATGAAACGCATTTTATATTATGAATGATGCCGTGAATAGAGAAATACAAAAGAAAAATATGTCTTTGATAGGTTAAAGTAAATTTTTTTAAAACTATATCATCATTGATATAATGATTCAAGAGCTTGCTCCTAAGTGATTAGTGTCTGTGAGCAGCGATTAATTCAAAGTCATTTGTTTCGCAATTTCGAAGAAAGAATATTTTGGACAATAAAGAGACAAGTTTCACATTTCATCAAAGTTCATTCTTTTATATTTTATAAAGACATCAAATATGTACAATATTTCATTCATTTGTTCACCTTAATAATATTTCAGGTTTTCTTATGACAAAAAAGTACAAATAAAAAAGTAAAATAATACAAAAACAACACGTAGAATAAAAAACCCTTTTATGAAATGGTATATTAATATACCCTTGAACGTAGAATAAAAAAAACCTTCTATGAAATGGTATATTAATATACCCTTGAACGTAGAATAAAAAACCCTTTTTATGAAATGGTATATTAATATACCCTTGAACGTAGAATAAAAAACCCTTTTTATGAAATGGTATATTAATATACCCTTGAAACTAGAATAAAAAACCTTTTTTATGAAATGGTATATTAATATACCCTTGAAAGTAGAATAAAAAACCCTTTTTATGAAATGGTATATTAATATACTCTTAAACGTAGAATAAAAAACCCTTTTATGAAAAGGTATATTACTATACCCTTCTCCTTAAATCTCAACACAATAAACCCTTTTTTTATCAGTCATAAACCCTTATTATTTTTATATACCCATAGTATAATAAACCCTTCTGCTCACAAACCCTTTAAGGGTTTATGCTGATGTACTAAACCCTTTAAGGGTTTAGGAAAATTTTCTTAAAGTACTAGGGTTTCGTATTCTACGCTTTTTTTTACAGTGTACAATCACGAGACCCATTTTACAGTGTCATTGATTTTCATTTATAAAAACACATGTTGAACCATGTAATCTTTTCTATTGCAAACTTTCTAAAATACTGAACAGATAAAATACAACACCATATGTTTATCTATTTAACACGTTTTCTAACTTACTGGCGCCGCCATCTATCAGAACAAATTTTCATTAGCGAGTAGTTCAACTATCCATTAGTCCTATGATACACTGTTAGAACTGTCAATTTCATCTGTCAACGTCAAAGTCAAAGTGATTTAAATCGATATTTCTATTGAAATTTTTCTTCAAAAACATCAGAAATAATGTCGTGAGTTATCACTAAATTTGAGAAGCATTTATTATGAATTTTGATCTCATTGTTTTCAGAAATGCTTAATAATATAATTTCTAAAAATCGCATTGTCATACCGAATGGTATGAGTGAAGATGTTGACACATCTGAATCTGAAGATGAAATGAACAAGATTCAGAATATTTTAAAAAAACAGTTAACAATAAACGATAACTCTTCATCGAGTGAAACCAGTGATTTAGAAGAAAAACCTCAAGATACATTCAAATCTAAATCAAAGAAGAAAAAAAGGATACACTGGATTAAAAAGCCATTTATGCCTCCAACATCAACATTTATTGAAATTTTACCACCACCCCCAATCAATAATGATCTAAAACCAGTTGATTACTTTTATTCGATGTTTGGCAAAGAATGATTTGAAATTTTAAAAAATCAATCAAATCTATACTCTGTTCAAGTAAATCCAAATCGATCTGTTAACATCTCAGAAACTGAAATCCATCAATTCATTGGAATCTTGATCATGACCGGCGTTTATTCATTTCCACAACAGCGTTTCTACTGGATGAACGGCACTCGTGTTCAATCTATTGCCTCAAAAATGAGTCGAGATCGATTTTTGCAAATAAAGAAATACTTACACGTCGTCGACAATACTACTCAATCAAATCAACAAGATCCTGAATATGATCGAGCCTTCAAAATTCGGCCATTATTAAACATTATCAAAGAAAACTTTCGAAAAATTCCAAAAGAAGAAAATCTATCTGTTGATGAACAAATTATACCTTTCAAAGGTAAAAGTATTATGAAACAACATATGCCCAACAAACCTCATCGTTGGGGATATAAAATGTTTTTATTAGCAGGTGGTGCAAGTGGTATTTGCTATGATTTTATTTTTTATACTGGCAAAGCTAATGAACCAAAATATGGATTTTGTACAGATATTGTTCTAAAACTTTGTGAAACTGTACCACGTATGATGAACCACAAGCTTTACTTTGATAATTATTTTACTACTATATCATTACAAGTGCAGTTAAAGAAACTAGGAATCTTTTCTGTTGGTACAGTTCGATCAAACAGATTACCAGATCTGGTTATGAAAAATGCCAAGAATTTACAAGAAGAAGGTCGAGGTTCAATGGACTATCGCATTGCGCAAGTTGATGGTGTAGAATTGTGTGCTACACGATGGTACGACAACAATTTGGTAAATTGTCTTTCAACATTGTACGGTTGTGAATTAACTGATTTAGTAAAAAGATGGTCATCATCACAGAAGAAACATATTCAAGTAGTACGACCAAATGTTATTAAGATTTATAATCAATACATGGGAGGCGTCGATCTGATTGACATGCTGGTATCCTTATATCGAATAAACATCCGCTCAAAAAAGTACTACATGAAAGTTATTTTTCATCTTATTGATCTGTCGATTGTTAACGGTTGGTTATTATATCGTCGCCACTGTTCTCAACTTGGTATGCACAAGAACGAAATCCGTTCGTTATTACAATGCCGGGTGGAAGTTGCTGAAGCTTTACTGAAGCCAATTACACCTAAATGCTCAGCTCAACAAGGTCGACCAAGTGTACGTCTTCGATCAAAACAGAACAGTCCATCCAAAAATTTACGATCTCCATCCGTTCAACCTCCACTAATCAATACTCGACTTGATGGTTTTCATCATTGGCCGATGACAACAGTCAAAGGACGTTGTCGTTATCCTGGATGCTTCGCTTCACTCTCAGTAAACATAAGAGCTTAACTGGTACCTCTTCAATACAGAGTATATTTTATATAAAATTTCGCATATATTACCTAGTTTTGCATCTGCATCTGACTAATTAGACTCATTGTTCCTTCGCATAGCATGAAATAAGCATTAGAAATCTGCAGAACTGAAGATGCCGCAAAATCTTAAAATCCTCAATGAGGCACAAGCGCACGAACACATATAGAGTATACCTAGAAGTTGCTGAAACTTCCAAATAAGTTCCAATTCAAATCTAAAAATGTTACTTCTATAGACTGTTCTTTTTGTTTCAATTGATTTATTTTTCTCTTGATTATAGGCAAACGAAAAAAAATTGATATCAATGATCAATCAATCGATAATGTTGATGATGAAGAAGAAATGTTAACAAAAATAATGTCTAGTCAAATGTATTTAATACTATTAGACGTATTAAAACATTTAGAAAAAATTTAGACAAATGAAAGAGAAGTTCTTGCAAGTTATCTAGCTAGTTTACGATCACAAAATCATTCAATAATGAATGTTCATAATAATCTTATAAGTTTATTGTTTTTTGAAGTTTCATCTGTTCTTCCAGCAAAATTTCGTCTTGTATATGTTTAATTATTTAAATAACAATAAAATTTCCTTTTTTTCCTCAAATTTTGTTATTTAATGATCAAAAATTTGAAAATCCCAAAACAATTCGATATTGATCAATTATTCAAGATAATCAATTAATTAAAGAAAACTTTTATTATTAAAAGATAAACAAACATTCGATGTGTCAACATTAAATACTCTAATTACAGTGCACGTCAAAAGTTTTTCCCCCCTTTTGTATTTTTTAGTTTTTATTATTAGACCTTTTTAATTTATTAACTTTCTATATATAGAAAGAAAGCCCAGAACATGCTGTATCTAATGGTATATTTACATTGAACAACAAGTACAGTTTGAAGTATAAAGAGTGTATTAGAAAAAGACCTGATATTTTTTTTTACTGCAAAAATTGTTCAAAATCTTAAAATGTATGAAGAGTAACTAGTTTGTAGGATAACTGTTGATTGAAACGAGATACAGACCTGCGGTTTTCACCGTTAGAAAGAGGACATAAAGATGCATCGAATTCTATACTCCGCATGTCTCTGGCAAGTTTTGTTAGGGTCTTTAGCGAATCCTTCTTTAAAAATCGAGACTTCTACAGGGGATAAAGTGAAGTTTTTTTGCAAGAAATACGAGACAGTCGATTTGTGAAGAAAGGTTCGCTAAAGATGTTAGAAAGAGTTGTTAGAGG